TCTCTCTCTCTCTCTCTCTCTCTCTCTCTCTCTCTCTCTCTCTCTCTCTTCTAACAAAACAAAAAAAAAAAATAAAAAAAAAATCAATCATTCAATCAATCAATCCATCAATCGGATGAATATATTGATTGATTGATTGATGACTGTGTGTGTGTGTGTGTGTGTGTGGTCTCTCTCTCTCTCTCTATCTATCTATCTATCTATCTATCTATCTATATATATATATATATATATCATCACAAATAGAACTGCCCGGTAAACCGTAGGCAGAGAGAGAGAAGAGGACAACAAACGAGGGGCTGTGACAAACTGTTTATATATATATATATCGCCACAAATAGAACTGCCCGGTAAACCGTAGGCAGAGAGAGAGAAGAGGACAACAAACGAGGGGCTGTGACAAACTGTTTCGTCGGAGTTTCACCGACTCATATATATATACAAACAAAAACGAAACAAAACAAAAAAACATAATCAATCAATCCTTCAATCCAATCTATACATTGACTGATTGATTGATGATTGTGTGTGTGCGTGACTGTGTGTGACTCTGTGTGTGTGTTTGTGGTCTCTCTCTCTCTCTCTCTCTTCTATTATTCTAACAAAAACAAAACAAAAACAAAACAAATAATCAATCAATCAATCAATCAATCAATCCATTGGATTGATTGATTGATTGATTGATTGATTGATGAATGTGTGTGTGTGTGTGACTGTGTGTGTGACTTTGTGTGTGTGTGTGACTGTGTGTGTGACTTTGTGTGTGTGTGTCTGGTCTCTCTCTCTCTCTCTCTCTGTTCAATCAAAAACAAAACAAAACAAAAACTAATAATCAATGAATCAATCAATCAAATCCATCAATCCAATGAATATATTGATTGATTGATTGATTGATTGATAGGGCGCCTGCGCCGTTCACAAGAGATAGCTACATTGGGTTATGCTGTAGTGTGCTATCTGCTCTGGCTTTGACTACTTGGACTTCAGTATCATTTTGCAATATGGATTTATGTGCTTCGTCCATATTCATGTTCCTTGCATTTATCAAAGAATCAATCAATCAATCAATCAATCAATCAATCAATGAATCTATCAATGAACCGAGTCACTCAATAGACTGTTTGATTGATTGGTTGATTGCTTGATTCAATGATTGATTGATTGATTGATTGATTGATTGATCTGTGTGTGTTTTTGTGCTCTCTCTCTCTCTCTCTCTCTCTCTCTCTCTCTCT